TTGCATGAGTGCCAATCCCCTGAAAATAGGCCCATTAAAGAGCAACAGCATTCATTAATCTAGCATATAATGCAGACCACAAGGAACTTTCCAAGGGATTTGGCAAGGGCAGGCAATGCTTTGACTGTGGTTGTGAAGGATCTGTTGTCTGAATGGAGGGACCTCAGATTTCCTGCCCCTAGAGAAAAATCCTCTACACACATACACATGGAAGAGATCATCAGTCTTTACAGAGGCCACAAAGGTTTGGGATTTCTTCAAAAAGCTGGTAACAAGATTGTGTAAGAATCAAATAACCTTGCAAATAGCTGTATCCCATTAGTCATGAGAACAAATGCTGGGCTGAATTAAATGTTGATTGTGGCTTATGAAGTGTCTCTGTACACATGACCTTGGGCAAGACCCAAAAATTCTGGGCTCTGTATTTGAAAGGCAGCTGGCTAAATAGCCATGGCAAAATAATCAAAAAAAGCACCGTTTATTTTCTCAATTAACCAAGTGATTAGCTGAGAAATAGGAGACACAGAAGAAAGAAGAAACCTTTCTCTTTTTGTAAAATCTGTTTTTCAGGCTTTCCATCAGTACTGCACATTCCTGGAAAACAAAACTATGCTCAGTATATCTCAGCTCAGCCATGAAATCTTTCCCCAGACTGAATGATCAGTCCAGTGCACTGCTCAGACCTTTGTGCAGCTCTTGTTCCTTCTCTCACATAATTTGAAAGGCAGCAAGGTAATTATGGATTACTTACAGGCCTTTCTTATGAGAGGCAAACATTAATTCAGGCGTTCCAGAGGACTTCAGGCAACCAAACCTTGGTGCTTTCTTGCTATTTAGTTATTCTTGTATTTCCCTTTTAGCAGCTCAGACTTTCACAGGCGACTGCTTCCGCTACCAGACAATGAGTAAATCTGCTCTACGTGGTGTCATTCCTGATGTAAGCTGGCTCAAATAAAATATTTAATTATGTTTGAGAATTTTTGCTTTGTTCTCTCCTGGTTGTCCAGGCTCCCCACTCAGTTCTTCCTATGTTACACTAATAATTTGCAAATTCTTTCTGCAGGCCTCTTACCTGCTGTGGTTACTGTGCTCTCTTCCTTGTAGTACACAGGAAAAAATGCTGTTCTTCCTCTTTGAGAAAATTATAAAGAAGATTTCTGCCCCTCTTTGTCTACTAAATCTCTAGCTAATGTTAGTTCCCTTTTGGATGGTCAGACATGGATAATCAAAGAATCCCCCCACTGCTGTTAATGTGCTGCAGAACAAGTATTTACAGAGTCTGTGAACTGCTAATAAGCAATCCTGCACTTTTCTTCCTAGGCATAGGAGAAATCCTCTACAGGACATGAACACAGTGAGGGAATGGTTGTCAAAGCACTGGATTTGGGGCCATCTGAGTTGCTGTAGGATGTCCTTGCTGGCCACCAGTTTCTGCCCTCAGTGCCCCCTTGGTCCTGTGTCCCATCTGCTGGATCTGTTCAGATCCAAGACTCCCAGCTGTCTAAAATGACATTAAAGTACCTCTGGGCCCCTGTGGTCCCCATGGCCTCAGCTGGGATCAGAGCCAGATTTTGTACTAACTTTGGATGTGCACCTGGACTTGGAGCACCAAAGTCAGCATGAATATTCTCTCCTGGGACACAACCTCAGTGCCTGCCTGTGTGTGAGCTCTGGCTGTGCCTGCACAAGCAGGAGCCCAGAACCAGCCCTGCAGGGAAAAGGAACAGGACAGGGGGGTCAGTCCTCTGATTTTGCCTCTGAGCGGGAGATGGATTTGGCTGGCAGCTGCCCCCACCAGTGCAGGGTCCTGGAGAGGGGCCTGTGCATGGCCATGCAGATGTGTGGGGTGAGGTATTGGACCAGGGGATTATTGAATGAATCAGATGTGGGTAAGACCTGATAGACCTGCACTGACCCAGGCCTGTTGTCTGGGTCAAACAGAAGAGCAGGACTTTTGTGGAAGGACGGTCTAGGCTATTAGGAGCCAGGCAGGAGCATCTCTATAAAAACACAGAAAAACCAACACCCTATCCTTCAAGTACCCTGAGCAATGAAAACAGCACTCATACTGATTAATGCATAATAAATGTAATGAAAAATGAAAAACACTGTAAGCTATTAGTTATGCTACCTGTTATACATTTGGTTTAAGCCCTTTGAATGCTGACAAACTGTTTTCCCCTGTAGAAAATCTCCCTACATTATTGCTGTTTTCCTTATTCACCACATTTGCAGTCATCACTAGTAAATTCAAGTAATGAATTAATGAGGAGTCTGGGTGGCATCATAATTCTGTCTTGCACACTACCACAGCTACCACACAGCAATCCCAGGATGCTTAACCTGCCCAAGTGGATTAATCCTTGCAGTGCTTTTCTGCTGTATGTCAAGGCAGTGAAAGTCCCTACAGGCATAACAGAAACCCTTCAGGGCACCATATTTCAGGGTCCATGGGGCAGAAAGTCTACTTGGTACCATTCCAATGCCTCTAGGAAGTGTCAGATCTGCTCTGAGAGCACTGTGCAGACAGTCTACACATGTTCCATAAATCTGCCAGCTGGGATGTTTTTGGCTCCCAGCACACAGGCTGGGTATTGCCCATGCAGGAGGGTGCAGGAGGTTCAGTGATTACACAGAGTGGAACCCAGTGCTTGGGATATGTAAAGTCCACACAGTATTTCTATAAAGCACCAGAACAGCTCATGGTGTGAGCAGTTTGTGCAAGACAGAGCAGGGGCTGCCATCCTTTGCTGTGTGTTTTCACAGAGGAATAGAATGAGTGAAATTACTCTCCTGGAAATGCTGGACCCTCTTACTCACACGCTATGCCAGCAGCTCTATGCATGTCTTATAAAAATGTCAAGGGGATTCAGCTGCCTGGCATCCTGCTCAGATTCCTGAGTAAAAAAAGAGCCAGCAATAACCAAGATGCACGTTAGCTCTAATCAGAGCACTGAGAATCCAAAGAGGAGCAGGACTGTTAAACTGTTCACCATGGAACATTTAACTATGCAGCTTTGGTATTATAAATGTGTGTGACTTCACTGACAGTACATTGAGCAACACCATAAAACTGATATTAATGTGGCTTTTATGAAAGGACTAGCAAAGTGAGCTGTCTTACTCTCAGACAGCACTAAAATCAGGTCAATAAGGACATCTTCAAATTTAAGCACATGAACAGCTCTCCAGATCCAAGAGGACCAATCATACTTTTACATATCTTGCTGAACTTGAGCCTAATTCAAAAAACAGGACTTACTGCAACCAGAAATAGACTGTATTCCATGCATTTTCCTCCACATGCTGAACTGGGAAGTAAAACATTGATTTCTAGCACATACCTTATTCCTACATCATTGATGCAGCTGTATCTCTGCTGAAGTGTAAATGTTCATTGAATTATTGAAACCCTTGTAATGTTGTAAAGGAAAATGTTAATCTTAATGAGACACACGAATGTCTGCAAAACCAAGAAATCAATTGTATATAGAAAAATAACTATCTTTATTTTCATTTCATTTCATTCATTTCAGTGATGTGTGGCCCTGCAGTGAACTCCAGTTTAAAAAGTAACTGAATAATGTTTTGTAGCTGGTCAGAAATTGCAAACCCATTTGCAGAATTTTTTAAAATATCACAGACATTGTCCCAGTATTACAGCAGTGGGGGGGTTGGGGGAGGGGGGAAGTGAAACTATTTAGAAACAACAAAGAAGATTTTTGTTAACAGTTAAGTCAAAGCTTTATCCAAAATATTACATACATATACCCAGATATCACAAAAACTACAAATACCATGAATTTGTTTACTACTGAGAAGGAGTAGCTGAAATGTGTGCTGTGTTACGGTGCAAGGCAAAATACAGGAATTTCTGCAAAGAAACTGTGCAAGTTTCATTATGTGGTGCCCCTTGTATTTGCTTAGGGAAAAAAAAAAGGAATATTCACTTCTTTAGCCAAAATTTTGTTTGAGGAATGAAGGTCTAGGGGAGATAGGCACAGAATGAACCAGTTCCTTCTGGCTGTCTCTCTTTGCTGCATCCAGCTCCGTGGAAACGGCTCTATTCCAATTTCACAGCAATATCCCCCTGCACCAGCCCACAGGAATGTCATGGAGGAGGAGAATGCTCACAAGTTCTCTATATTTTTGGTGTCACACAGGAGTGGGATTTGGAGGTTGGCTGGAGAACAGAAACAGGAGCCAGAGTGCCCAGGAAATGCAGACAGCCAAGGCAAACTGCAGCACTGCTGCTCCACACACACTTCCCAAGACCAGCAATTTATTGGACAGATTTATGTTTATCATATTGCTGCCTGGAATCAAAAGACCAAACTTTCCAAATATTAAGAGTAGTAAGATAAAAAGCAATTCTTTAATGAAAGCTTTCAGGTGCACAAAAAAGACTCTGCATGCACGTGATACAGGATTTCTACAATTTTTATAAAGTTAATTTATTAGTATATCTAATACTAATACATCCAATCAGAGATCAGTTGCCCCAGTAATCCACCCTTGGGTCTGCCCCTCTGGAGCTGGTCCACAGGGTTGTTTGTCCTATATGTTGTTATGTCTCTCAAATTCTGGTGAAAAACAAGGTGTTCTCGTTAGAAATTCCCTTCTTGAGAATAAAACTAAACAGAATTTCAAGAATGTGTTAGAAAGGGTTAGTTTATTGCTCTAAAATGTGAGAGAGGGTAGGAAAAGCACTAGAAATGATACAACTGTATATTAAAAATCTACAAAGCTACAAATATATGAAAAAGCTAAAAATCTTTAGGCATCAATATTCCACAGTGCAAGGCCCACCACACCTACATGTAGATTATACCATGCCTATGCTGCTGGTAGGTCCAGCCATTAAGGTACAGCCCTGGAATGTTTTCCATTATGCTGATCCCCAAAAAGGAGGGCCAGCTTGGAGTATCCAGATGAAAAGCAGCTTCTGCAATGGTGTTTATTGTCTTGAACATTTTCAGAAGTGTAATGCAATATTATACAGCTAACTATATGGTTTTATTTAAAAAATCACTCATTGCCTTGGTCCTTTCTGAAGAAGATCTATGTGTTTACAGACCAGAATATTCTGCTGATGAGGAATATTTTTCTCCTGGCAGGAATCCAAGCGTCAAAATGTGGGTTTTTGTAGCTGTGGTGAGTAATCTGTCAGCAGGGAAACCATGACAGCCTAGAGGAGGAAGAGAAGAAAAAATCCAATCACATTGGAAACAGATACTCCATAAAAATAAATAAGGGGGAAATATTTTCCAGCTCTGAAGCCTTGTGTTGAAACTTATTATCCTGACAAAAATGGCACATTTAGATTTATTTGCTAGAATTTCTGATGATGAATCAGGCAAGAGCTGAAAATCAGTTAGGATGTTCTGTATCTGATAGATTTTCTCAGTGTGGACAAAATATATTAATGGACAGCTTAGGAGCAATTCACACAAGCATTTAGATCAAATGCTGAGGCCTTTTTGGCATGTTGTGATGTATTCTCAGCTACTTCTAGGAGATGCTGTAGGTACCCAGACATCACATGGGCTGCCTTTTCCATTAGCATCAGCGAGAACCACGCTGGAATATGGACTCTGAAATTTATCCCAGTTTAGCTCTACTTTCTGTAGTGCAACATGGAAAATCCTCACTGAGGTTAAGAGTGTGCCATCCACCCCTCCTGCCTTGCCTGCACAGCTGTGAAATGGGAGTGATTTCATCAGCTAAATGAAATGTGGTGTTGCAGCAGCTCTGCTGTCCCACCCACGCCTGTGCTCACAACAAACCCCACATTGCCTGGCCTTGGCAAGGCTTTACCTGGTTCTGTACCTGGAGCTGTGATTTCACAGCAAGGTCTGACTGCACAGTTTTGGCCCAGCACTGGATTTGGGAGCGCTCCCCAGGGGCTTTGCTGCCTGTCCTTCCTTTCCCTCATCACTGCCAGGGTCAGCCCAGGCACACAGAGGTGCCTGAATTACAGCTGTGCATCCCCTCAGTGCTGCCAGCCCTGGCTGCACTCAGCCCTGCTTGCATCTACAGCTGAGCAAATAATCTATTCTGCTTTTTTTTTTTTTGCTCTCCATGCTACAAGTGGTAGAAAATTCTATATACACAAGACCCATACATTCATTATTTTTATAGGTTGATAAAATACAAAATTACATTTTTCTTTCACCTCCTCTAGACCCCCCAAAAATGTGTATCTGGAACCCAAAGTAAAGGGCCTTTTTTTTTTTTTTTAAATAATATTTAGGGCAATTAGAAGCATTGCAAAATCAAATTAAACATACAAGCATTTTGTTGAATTTTAAGGACAAAACTATGAATTTAACACAAATTTGTTAGTAATTTTGACTGAGTCCAATGTCTGAGGTTTTAGCAAACACAACACTCAACCCTTATTTATTCATTTGGAACACATCTAGACTTCATCTCAGAACTCTGACCATGCCATCTCTGTTTTTCTTTTCACCTCTGAAAGTTTTCACTAGCTTTTGTCAGCTTGGTGGATCTAAAGCCAAAAATAAATAATAGGCTACTGAGTTCTGGCAGTAATTTTCTGAAATTCCAGGAATGCTGAGAGGGGAGTTATGGTTTGTGTTAAATGAGTGTCCCCTCATGGTACCATGATCACACAGCATCACCCACACCATAACTTTTCAGGACCTTTCAGATCTTTGTTCTTCCAGCATTTTCTCAGGGAAAGTTCCATTGGTGTCAGCAGCAGCTTTTCCTGAGAGAAAATAGCTGGTTTTATGTGTTTGGGAAACTGCCTTTTCTAAGACCAGACCCTGGGACCTCAGCATGTAACATGTTTTAATTGAGAAGTTGAGTTAATCATTAGAGTAAATCCAGTGATTTCATTGCCAAAAAAAGTGATGGTTTATATTGTATATTTCACTTAGTGATAAAACCTGGGTCAAGCAACGGCAGAATATCACCAAAATAGATCACATTTGTGCTACTAATGTTGTGTACAGTCAAAATTGTGATGTGCTCTGGGGTAAATTTGAAACATATGTTTTAACATTCACTATTTTTTGTGGAACCAGGTTGAATTCAAACCTGAACAAAATTGACCCCAACCTCCAAATACTGTTTTCTTATTTTCTTTTTTTTTTCTTACCATAATTGTCCATTTTCTGTTTTCAGCCTCCTGGAAAACCAATGACTGTGGAGAATAAAATACTTCATCATCAACTTCTTCAGGCTTTCTGGGTAAACAGTGTAAAAAAGTCCAGTTGGAAGCAGCAGATTTTGCAGTCTGTAGATTTAAAAGCATATAAAATAAAGACATATGTGAGAATATTAGTAAAATCCTTAACGAGTAAAAAGGTTAACAAATTTTATATTAACTCCCACTCTGGTTACTTGGATGATGAACTCAGAAGAATTCCACAGACTTCAAAAGAATTCCTCATCTGTGAATAAGATGGGAATATCTCCATGCAAGTCTGTAAGAGTTCAATGCTGACTTCACAAAAGTCAAAAAGTCACTCCAATTTCTCTGACTTTAGAAGGGGAGTGGAAACCCCTCTGCTGCACATGGATCTGGATCTCATTGGGAAGCTCTGAAAGAGGCCAAGCCATGGGGAGTGTATGACATAACTCAAACTTTGTTATCACTTTGAGTTTTCTAAGCTGGAGGGGGGTTTGCATCTGGCTTTTCCACGACCCCACTCAAAAACCCCCCAAACTCATGCTAGGTTGATGTTGATTCTTATAAATTCAAAGTGTAAAAATGTAAATAAAACCCAAAATCTCAGTTTTTACCTGCATTGTAATCTGATAACCTTGAAAGGCCTTTAATCTTTCTTTCTTCTCCTCTTCTTGTCCCATGCTTATCCATGTGTCTGTGACTAAGACATTGGCACTGTCTGCAGCTTCCAAAGGGTCTGTTGTGAGAAGTAACTTGGTACCATGCTAATGTAAATAAAATAAGGAAGATCACTAAGACAAGGAACTTCATTTATAATGAAAATAAACTCTATTCAATATATTCTATTAGGCTGTTTCTTAGCTCCTACCTCTTTGGAGTTCTGTTCACATATTTTAGTTATCCTGAGGTCTGGTTCAAAGCCCTGACAAAAGAGATGATGGGTAAGACATCATGGAACATGTATAAGATCTTCACTAATTAGTAAGAATGGCCAGAAAAATACTTATTGAACCATTGGCCGTGGAAGAAGGACCTTTCAGAACTGTAAAACTTGAGGAAACAATGTTTTATGAAAGTTTATTTTGGAGGTAAAGTGTTGAAAATTGTTCTAAAAACATAATAAAAATGTATTTTGTCAGTTACAGAATTAAATGCATATTCAACATTTAATTTTTTGTTCTAAACTGATTTTTAAAAATACTTTATAGTGCATTACAATGAACATTCTAAAATGCTGCACCACCAGTTTACATGAAATGAGATGTAACACTTCCACCTATCTGAAACAGGATTTATTTTTTTTAATGAGGAGAGTGCATTAGATGTCTTTGTAAGGCTTTATCGAATGGAACTGTGATCCTCCATGATTTAGATTTATACTCCTGTCAGATATTCCCATTTCTGATGTTGGGCTCAGTAGAATCACTCCTGCTTTGCATCCAAATTACTGGATCGGGACTTTGTACCTTAGTGCTGGAAACAGACACTCAAGATAGATGCAGGCATCCCCAGCGGGGGCCCTTGAGCAATGCCTGAGTGTTTGAGACAAGCCTGGCTGCAGTTTGCCTTCCTTTCTGCACGGCTGTGGTTTTCCTTACCCTGGGGGTGGCGATCCTCAGGTGCATCCCCAGCTGCGCTGCGCTCGTCATGAAGGACTGCAGGACGTTGTTGCCGTCCCCGACCCAGGCGATGGTGAGCCCCTTCAGGCCTCCATAGTGCTCCTGCCAAAGCAATCACAAGCTCTGGGGTGACCTCCCAGAGCAGCTGGGCAGGCTGATGGACAAGAGGGAATGATCAGAAGGGTCTGTGCAAAGGCAGCTGGCTGCCTTCAAGTGCTGCCTGCACGGATCACACCTGGAATTGCTGCTCCTGCAGGATTCTCACAGAAGGAAAGCCCCCCGTGTCCTACAAGAAGACCCAAGAGCTGCTGCTTCCCCTGCAGAAGGACACATTGTCACATGTGAGAAGGACATGCTGGTACATGTGCCACGTGATGAGGCTCATGCTGAGAGATTCAGCACCAGACATGAAGTGATTTTAGCATCACTGATGTACAGCTGTTCTTTGGGCCTCATAAACATCAGTGAATGCTGGAAATTCTTAATGTAGGGACAGTCCTAATGCCTGGAATAGAACTCCTAGCTTTTCCCCAAATTGTGAAAATGTCCATGTTGAGGTTTGTTATGGCTTAGCTGCCTCTGCACGCTGTTCCCTGCGGCTATGGCAGTGGTCAGGTCCTGGGAATGCATCCTCACCCCTCAGCTGCACAGGACAGCAAAGAACAGCACTCTGACAGCAGCTGTGCCACTCATGGCCTGCAGCATTTGTTTTCCATTGTTCAACCAAAGATTGCAGGGATTTTTAAAAAATGTGGATTACCCAAACTTGAAACAGCATTACAGAGTTAACTGTGGCTGTGTCTGATGGCACCTACAGCCAGCCCATGTGCAGTTACTCTGTTCCTCCACCCCAAGGAGGTAAGGCCTAAGGAGGAACAAGAATAACAGGGGTTACATATTTCCAGACTCCTTAATGAGCCCTGTTTTAAATATGCATGTTTATAGGCACTTAAGCTGATACCAAAATTTTTACAAAGACATTACCAAATTCTCCTATAAGCCTGCTCTGTAAAATTCTATCTCATCACTTTAAACAATTTCTGAAGAGTCTTTTATTTTTAGTTCAAATCTGGGCCATGCTACAATAGCATTGTAGTAGCTGGAAGCCAGGCAGTGTTTCAACACTTTGTGTGACATGATTCAGTGCTTGTCAGAGAGGATAAGCATCCACACTGTACTAAGTGGCAACCTTGCAGGCAGTTGCAGAAAAGATGCCAAAAGACTGAACAGGAAAAGGGCTGGGACCACCCCTCCTCTCCTGGCAGCAGCTTCTCCTAAACAAATAGTTTGTGAAGTTGTTCCAGAACAAAGTTATTAGCATTTCTTTCAGTGACCACAATTTTGAGTCAAAAATAGCAGTACTTGAAAATTGAATGACATTAAAGTGCTGTAAATACCTAAACTGGATAGAGTCCTAGACTGTTCAGGTTTAAGGGCTAAAACTATGGTATTGCAAAAATATTGCTTTTTCAGCCAAAGTTTGTTAACAGCAGGCTCATTGGCAGAGATTGTTGCAAGGGCATTTACAGGAGAACAAATCAGGACTGTGTGGACAGGGAAGTTATTTCAGTATAACCATTCTGCAGGTCTCCAAGGATCTTTCAAAGTCCCTCCACATCTCCTAGCAATGGTGCTCCTAGGAGAAAGCCAAACTGAAGCATTTATTTAAGGTGGTGTTTCCATTTAGGGTGTAGTGATAGCTGAGACCAGAACCCACAGCCAGAAGCAAGTGAGACAGTCCTGAGTTCTTTTCATCTCACTGTTTAAAAATAGACATTTCAGCCTTAATACTCAAAGCATTGACTAGAGTCACAAATACACTGCTATGTTAAACAACTTCACTTTATTGCCAGCTGCTACTCTACATTAAAAGAAGCACAGTGCATATTAAGTGCTTCCCTCTGTTTTCCCAATCTCCTAGCTGTTACAGATAAAATATGGAGTACTGGATGTGTCTGTATAATGATCCCTGATACACACTGCAAATTGCAAACCACGTCTGCAGTGACTACTGTGTAGAGTGGCCGTAGCTGAGCTGATTTTAATGAAGATGTTTTGCTGATGGAAGGAGTCACAGCAAGGCAGAATCAAGCTGTGTGTGTGCTAGTGAAGCCTGTTTTGTATCCTGTGCTAGGCTTTATGCTACCACTGGCGCACTGCTGCTGTAATTCAAACCTCTTCATCTAAAGCCAGATCACTGTGACTGTGACTGTACTGCTTATGAGCAAACACACACCCTCAGCTTCCAGCAAAGATGAGGTGACTGTTGGTCAGAACCAGAAAAACAAAAGTTGCAGTAACGAAACACACTTCCCCTCTTGTCCACTCCCTATTTTATTGCTTACACAATCACATGTGAAATCCTGCTAAACGTGTTTTGCCATGATAGTAACACCCTAAATTATATGAGAGCCTTTACAACACCTGATCACCAGAACCCCTGAAGATATTTTCCCTTTGTATCCTTCCCCAGTTTTTACAAATTACGTTATATTGATATAGGCTTTACTCCTGCATGGGTGTTCTGCAGTTTCACTCTACATTTGGAACATGACTCCTATAAAGCCACATAAAAAAATAACATATTTAGAAAGTCTAGAGCCCTTCTCCCCTATGAAGCCTCTTCAGCAAAGTAGCTATTGCTGCTGTAGTGCCATAAAACTTGCCGGTGTTATTCTCATGAAAAATCCCAGCTAAATAAGTAATACCAATTTTGCATTCAATTTTCTCACCCTCTTGTTGCTTTTACAATGCTTCATTCTGTTCTTATCCATGGCTGCAGTGTATTAGTGTAGGCAACTCTGGGAAAAAATAAGTATGCTCAGTGATTTGACCCTGTATGTGTAGAGAAGACTGGGTTAACTAATTAAGGACATTTGTGTCTGCCTCTGCCTGGACTTGCTTCCAGTGAGACTGAAACTCTGACACCATTATAGATTAATTCTGAAATGTTTGACCACAACTGTCATAACAGCCTTCAATTAAAACAAGCTTTTGAATAATGAATCAATAATCTGTCAAATTTTAAAATGTGATGCCAGGGACTAATCAAAGCTTTAGCCCTTCGGGAGACAGTGCAATCCAGTAAATGAGAAACTGGGCAAACCTGGATCTTCTGGTTCTCAAACTGGGCTTAAGGCAGATGCTGGGTCAGTTATCTTTCCTATTCCCACACTGGTTTTTGTCATGGTTATTGACACAGTATATTTTAGAGGATCAGGACAGATCTTAGTTGGGATGTCTAATTGTTAGAATAATAAGGATGATTGTAGTGAGGAATTTGAAATTTGTAATAATTTGAGGTCTTGGGCTCACACAGCAAGGAGAATTTGAGAATATATTGAAGCCCTTTTCAAGCTGGGCAACATTATTTGTTATGCTGTTTAAAAAGAAACCACCGATGTATTTCTTATGCCAACCGTTGCTTTCTGAAAAAGAAAATTCCCCCCAGACCAGTGACATAAAAAGCTAGTGGCATATGGATCCACTCTAATTACCAGTCTGGCCATCCTGCAGTCAGCTACAAGTGAGCTGATTGGCCAGTGACATTAATATCAATTGAATCAATGTCAATACCTGGGCTGTCTCTGGAATACAAATTGTGTGATGCTGCCCTCCAGCCACGCTGAGCAGAGCAGAAGCTGAGCCACAGCTCCTGCCCAGGACACCCAGGGACACTGGATGGGCCCAGCTTGTGGCTGTTATAGAACAGGTAGAGGAGTTAAGGGGCTCAGTGTGTGCTCACAAACTCACAGTCTTTAAAGGCCAAATCCCCAAATCCTCAAAAACAGGTTCTTTATGTGTTTGCAACCATTTCGAGTGGGTTATAGCTCAAGCACACTCAATTCAACACAACCTTTAAGAAAGGTAGTGTATATATAGGCTAAGAAAAACATTTTTCTTGGCTTAATAGAGGGCATTAATCCTGAGCAGCTTAGATTTCAAACATGTAAGGGGATCCAGGTTGCTCAGGAAGAAGGCATGGGGCAGGAGGATGCTGAACCTGAGGAATCTCACCCGAGTATTCATAACAGGAACACACTGCATGATCTGAAAAGAACATTTCCAGGATGAGAATTTGCCCTGAATACAGAATGAGAATTGACAGCCCTGAAAAGAAAACCACTGCATTGTTTGGGGGATGCAATGGACTATACTAAAATAACGATACTAAAATGAACTTGTGAAAAGGGAATAGAAGCTATAAGCAAGAATTTTTTTTTCAAAACAAACCATGCAATTATGTAGTTTCAGACCAAAGAGAAAGTTCTTGAGGAGGGTTCAAGAAGGCACACACACAACAAACTTAATAGGATATAGAAAAATGTGCTAAGCATGAAGAGGGCCAGAGTGCATATAGAGCTCCACTGGAAAACAGAGAAGAACAAAAAGAAGAAAATAAAAATCTACATTTTGGGTATGTACTGACAGCAGGGAGGAACAGATACAGGCAGGAAAATATTTATGGGGATAGGGAAGAGACATTTTTTAAAGAGAAATAAGCTGCTCAAAATCTGTAGGTACATTTAAATATTAGGCTAGCAGTCGGTGCCACTACTGTAGTTTACATATATGTATAAATGAAATAAATTGTCTTTGCATTGCATATAAACAGACTAAATGTTATATATGGTCTTTCAACTCATTTAAAGAATCAGTAGTACCATTCCACATCCCTGTATTAATCTTCTTGCAGGCAGTACTTGGATGACATCTTGCTGAAAATTCTGTGAGAAGCTTGATTGGGGTAAGTAGCAACTAGACCTTGTGGCTCACACCTCTTCAAAAGTTAATCTCACTTCTGTGGCCTGACAAAGTTCATTATATGATTAAAACCCTGTTTCATTACATGCCACTCCAGTCTTCTCCAACTCACTGTACAGTGCAAAGAGGAAAAAAAGGGAGCAGAGGAACAGAAAGGGAGAGTTCAGGCAGTGCCATCACCCACAGGGAGCTGCTGAGAGCTCTCCCCTGCTCCTCTCTCCTGGATAAGAAAGCAAGAGTGGAAATTGAGTCAGCAACCAGCAGTGCAACATGCCCTTGGCACAGAGGGGTGGCCACCCAGCTGCCCCATAAAGACCTCCTGACAAATTCTGGGCTAAGGAACATGCTGGAAAGAGTCAGGGAGAGATGGGCGGATGGAGGAAATGGTGCTCTGCTTATTGGGCTGAGTGTGAAAGTGATGCAAATTTAGAAAAAAACATTCAATGTCTGTATAAAAGCTGAGCCATTCCTTGTGATCTCTGTAAGTGCTCACTCTGTGATGACACCTCTCCATGTCAAAAATGTCCTTTTTTTGAGCACCAACTGCTGTGGAGCCGTTTCTTCATCACCAAAGGCATCCTCCCTGGTGTTTGGTGCAGCAAGGACACCCTCAGCACCCAGCTGTTGGTGCTGCCCTTGGAATTCAAGCCAGGGAAGAGTGCAGCCTGTGGGCTCATATTCACCCAGAGCTTCTGCCATGCCTGTCCTGTATGAGGATGCAAAGGAGGAGGAGCAGAGGGTGGAAAGCAGGGCACGTTCTCATCCTGCTGCTTTCCACAGGCTTCCCCCTAAGATCAGTGCAGAAAGAGCTGCATCTCCAGGAGGTGACTGGGATGCTCCTTGGCCTCTCCTCATTAACTGGAGGGGGAGTAGAGGGCAGCAGCATGGTGAGCCTGGGTGCTCACAGGCAGTGGCCCAGATAAAACCATGTTTAGGGGCAGAGATACCCATGGCTGTGTGGGCGGCGAGTCACAGATTGTTCTGAAGAGTGTTTCTCACAAGTGATAAAATGCTAATTAATAAGGTGTTTCCAAGACAGAACCCCCACAAAACACAACCAGGAGATTCTCCTGTCTTATATTTTTCATACAGTGCTTACAACAAAATGATGATGTTCTCATTACAGCTTACTATCTTTTATGCAATTTGAACATTGAGGCTGGCTCAGTGTGATCTCACAAATCTCCCTTATCCTGAGGTCTGTAAGCATTTTAGTCTCAAGTTCACCAATTTTTTCTGGTCTTTCCACTGTGAATATAAAAAAATTACAAAAAAATACTTAAAATAAAAAAAGTGATTTTCACCAAACAAATGAATCTTTCCATATTTAAGGTTTAAAGCATGAATAATTAATTATTACTCTCACTAGATCTTTTCCACACACTGAATGTCCCATAGCAAAGTCCCCAACAGCTAAGAAACATAGCTGAATTAATCAGGAAATTATTCTGCCCTACCATTTTCAAGCAGTGTGTTTTTTATTTGTTTAGTAAATAAACAAGGTCAGAGGAGATCATCATAGCTGTCAACCAGTCCTGGAGTATAATAATCTTTTTTATAAACCAGATCCTCAACCAATTGTAAAACCACATAGTCCTTCTGTTCACAGATAAACATCTGGTATTCTGTGTGTAAAATGTTATCCCATTGTCAGATCCACTGTTACATTAGATAAAAAATAAAAAATACTATATTTTTTAATTGTTCTTTGATGTGAGCAAAGTTTAAACTGGTTATCATTAACAGTTAATGTTAACTGGTTAACATTAACAGGCTTTTCAAAACAAATTTGTTCAACCAATTTCCTAATACATAAATAGTAATTCCTTTTAAACTGTCCATAGATTAGGGAGGAATCAAGAGCAAACCACTGAGTGTTTTTAAGACAATGGAAAAACTTTTGCTGGCTTTGCCTGAGTGAGATTATAATGTTTGTCTTAATATGTAGAGCCCTCTGTACATTCTTTGAATTGCAGACTAATTCCAATGAAATACTTAATTTTATGCTTAACTTCAGTCCCACTACAGCTGATAGGACTATGTAATTGTTTTAAATTAAACAGGTTCTTAATTATATTGCTGGATGAAGATCTCTTTAAACAACAAGTGCCATGTAATTACTACTTTGAAATACCAAGGGAAAAATGGTTTTGAAGATGTCTTCCCCAAATACTTACTAAGAATTGCAAAAAAAAAAAAATTGTTTATATTTTTACCTGAAGAGTTAGGTAATCAGCTAAAATCTGAAGAGGATGGTATAAATCGGACAATCCATTGATTATTGGGATCGTGGCTTCTTTTGCCATTAGGTGCAGATCATTGTGCTTATAAACCCGAGCCAAGATTGCATTTGTCATGCTGGACAGCACCCTAGAGATGGCAGAAAATACTCAAGTCAAACATAATAAATATACCCCTTTTGCACTCTTCACCATGCAACACATAAATATTAATGAGAAATGGTAATGAATCAATATTGTTCAGCTATCTGAATAATTTATCATGCCTGCAGGACAGGCTCAAATGTAGTCATTTAACAAGCTGCTAATAAGTAAGAAGTTTCAGTTCCTAACACTACTATAGTGAGTAAATGAAAACTGCTGTTCTATTTTATATTCTTTTCTCTTTGGCACTTCATTGTAGATGGAACATTGATACATGTTAAGCTCTCTGAACTAAGATAAGAGATTGTGCAATACTGTAGCAGTTGAAGAATTTGATAACCTCAGAAGAGATAAGGTATATTATTTTTTTTTCAGTCTTTTAGCAAAGAACAAATGCAGCATTGACTGTATATTATAGATTCTCTACGGTAGCCTGACTCTGTGAGGGTCAGCAATACAGATCTGTCTTAGATTACCACAATTGTTTACAGAAACAGAACAGGCTGCTTTCTCCTACCTACACACCTGTGTATTGACTCACACGGTATCAGCATTCAAAGAATGCCCAAATTTCAAACTCAGAAGAAGGGAAGGGGTTGCAGAAGCCCCTGTACCACTCTGGCATTAACTTAATTTGCTGAAGTGTGAAAGACAGAGATTAGCATAGTATATTCTGAATTTTTTTAGATAAATTAAATATGGATTGGAGCTCTTAATTTTTCTGCATTTCTGTGTTTTAATCAGGCCCTGAAGCCTGACTTTGAAGTAGCACTTTGTGTGTTTTCGTATTATTTGAAATAGGACCTTAAAACAAAACAAGGGAGGACTGAATTAGAAATATATGGAAAAAATCCTTGCAGTATCTGCCTATCTGATTAGCCATAACAAATTCTTGCACTTCCTCTTGTGGAAATAAGGCTGTTAGTACCATCATCAGCAAGGCCTTCTGATGAAGTCAGTAATAAGTATTTTCTACTGACATCAGACATTCCTCACACAAGCAAAGCTCTTATAAAATCTTACAAGATTGCCTGTAGAGCTCTCTCTAAAGAAAAGACTGTCAATAGAAGCTACAAATAAAAAGGAGGAACTGAGCAAGGAAGGTATTTACTGATTACAAAGTACTGGAACACTTGCTGTTTGGTACCATTATTCCTTCTTAGCTCACCAGTTCCTTTCTCTGGGGGAAGCCTGTTTTGTTTGAACTGGCCACCAGGGATGTGATGTTCCTTTTGTTGGCCATCTCACTGGTGGGGACCCTAAACCAGGCACAGCCAGTCCCCATCAGTCAAGGGAAAGGGGCAATCACACTGGGGGATTGCTCACTTTCCTTATAGCTTTTTTTTCCTTTAGAATGTCAGGACAGCTGATTTCTTTTTGACACAGCTGATCAAGAAATTAAAGATGGTTCCTTCATAGGGTATGCCTTTAGGGAAAATTCAGTCAAAATCAACTAGTGAAAACTGCTGGAGTTTCATCTTTAGTCTGTTAGAAGTAGATATCAGATTTATTAGACACCTACCAGCAGGACATCAGACAGTCCGTCTGCTAGTATTTCTAGATGTCATGTTTTACAGTAGGAAAATCAGCTGTTATCTGGCTTTATTCTTTGTGAAACCAAAATAAAACTAATCTTGGGGAGAAGAAGACATGAATAACCCTCACCTGTAGGTCTGTGATTACAGGGGAATGATTAAATCTCCAGTAATTTAATCAGTTTAAAGGAAAGTGTGTAAGGCTAGAATTGCATAGGAAAAAAAATCCTGAATATATAGGAGTCTTATCAAAGTGAAGTTTTGGAAGCTAAGGGCTGTAAGCACAAGTTCATCAGGTGACTTCATTTAATGTTCTTATTCTATCAATGACTAGGTCTTTCTCTCTTTTCATTCCTTTTCAAAACCTTGAGACTATGAACTTCCAAACCCCAGAGCCTGCAAATATGTTATATTGGAGCACTGAGTACATTGAAATGCTGCATGTCTCTCTTTTCAAAGTAATTTTTATTTCTACAGAAAAAACCTGATTTTTTTTCCTCAACTGTATCCTCTGAGGAATCCAAAATAAAACACAGAGTATGGCTTTTTAGTATGGCAGACCTTGGAATTTGAAAAAGGGGTATTTGCATACGTGTCTATTATGTATATTTTGTATACTGCTATGCAAGGTAGCTTTGCTTTTGTTTTGACACTTTATATCCATTCAAAAGCTTTAAAATTCTCATAAAACTACTTCACTTTCACTCACAGTCTCACAGGGACAGACAGTGGATGTGTTCTCAGCAAAATAAACCTGTTCCCCATAAATGCAGAGATTAATGCCCTAATAATTCCAGTGGACTGGTTAAATCACCCTTTGAGCACTTCAGGGCTGCCACTGAACCTGATGGCCACTGAGCTTTAGTGGTGCCCAGTGGAACTGCTCCACAGTGAGAAATACAGACACAGTACTTATATTTCATTTCAGGTAATAGATCAGACATGTTAAACAGCACTGAAAGGTTCAGAGCTCTTTAATGGGCGGTAACTTTTTGCCACAGTGTCAGCATAAATGTAAATGTCTTGTGAAGCATGGAGGAACTGATTTATGAGCAGGTAATAAGTCACTAAAAAAATGTTCACAACAGCAATGCTTTCAACCCTTACCTGCAGCAGTTCTAATAAAAACTGTGACTTTTATAGATCTGTGTCCCTTTCGCTTTAAGTCTCAATCTCCAGTACTTCAAAGGCCTTCAGAGCCCCAGACACATGCCTGTAAATATTTGAAATACCTTCTGGGTCTACTACAGGCATTCTTTTTCTGTTCTTACATTAACTGAATGAGGTTGGGATGTCATCTTTCATTCACAAGAAGCACTAAGGAATTAACACTCCAGTTGTTCTTTTGGGTAAACTACTCAGCCTTGATGATGCAGTCAGTGGTATTTGTGCTAGTGACAGCAGGAGTGGAGCAGAGTACTGGGACTCTTTACTGGGACAGGGTTTGGGAAAACCTTGTCCATGTAGCAGGTGAGAGCTGTGACTCAGCAGAGGAGCAAAATCCCCAGGTAAGGGTCATAAATAGGGACCTGTTCTGGAAGAGCAAGCAGTGACAGAGAAAAGGAGGCTGAAGGTTGCTTGGGAAGTGGATATTGTAGGAACTTTATCCACAGAATGGGGATGCCTTCAGAACAGCTGGAAGATTTACTTGCTTCTATTTATTGCCTTGTTTCTTGTAGTTTATTGTCTGCCTTTTTCCTTTTTTGCTTGTGCAAAGGCCATTCAGGACACTGTAAACAAAAGATTTAATGTCCCTTTACTGTCACATTTGGGAAGAAGGAAAAATGAAAACTAGCCTATATTAAGCATATCTGGTTTTGTGTCAGGTTTGCTGTAGGTTTGGCATCTGACTGGCAGAGAAGCTCCAGGTGGCAGTCCTGCACGGCTGCTGGGAGAATGCTGGTAAAGGTTATTACAGGTAAGCACTTTGGAAGGGCCCATCCTTCCCCTTCCTGAAGGTTTGGCTGCTGGGGTTTCCAGCCAGCTTTGCAGTAGTGCAGATGAGAGCTGCAAGGTGATCAGAGGGAGGGAGCATCTCACCTACAAGGAAAGGCTGAAAGAATTGGCATTATTCAGCCTGGAAAAGAGAAAGCTCCAGACTGACCTAATTGCAGCCTTCCAATACCTGAACAGAGTCCACACAAAAGATAGAGAGGGATGAATTACAAGAGCCTGGAGTGAGGAATGGCTTCAAACTGACAGAGAGTAGGTTTAGATGATATTAGAAAAAAATTCTTGACTGTGAGGATGGTGAGGCCCTGGCACTGATTGCCCAGAGAAGCTGTGGATGCCCCATCCCTGGCTGTGTTCAGGGCCAGGCTGGATGAGACCCTGAACAACCTGGCCTAGTGAAAAGTGTCCTTGTCCATGACAGGGGGATTAAAACAAGATGATATTTAAAGTCCCTTCCAACCCAAAATATTCTATGATTCTATTGTTGCAGCTCACTTTTATTCTGGCAGATTTATGTATCTAGCAGAGAGTGAGAGTTAAGTACTTCCAGGCTTCAAGGGATTGAGATTTTTACTTTCTACTATCAATACATATGTCTTCCATTTCAGTAGTAAAAAAAACAAGGAAGGAAAATTTAAAATGTTCAAATGTTTGATCTTTTTTTCTTCAATTTTTGTTGGATTTCATCACAGAGAACAGCAACACAGTTCTCAGTCTCTCCCACTTTCTGAGAACTGTGGTATTCAGCAAAGGCAATGGAACACATCTGCCTGCTTGCACATTTTGAATTGAGCCTGATGAGCTTGACACTGCATATCACAGAATCACAGTATAATAAGGTTGGAAGAGACCTCTAAGATGATCAAGTCCAACCTATGCCCTAACACCACAACTAGATTATAGCACCAAGTGCCAAGCCCAGTCTTTTTTTAAACATATGCAGAGATGGTGATTCCACCATCTCCCTAGGAAGACAATTACAGTATTTTATTATTCTTTCAGTGAAAAATTTTTTCCTAATATCCAACCAATATCTTTCTAATATCTTTCTCCAGAGCAAAAAAACCTTCCATCAGCTAGGCCTGACTGAATCAACCTCAGGCTGCCTAGAAAGCAGGATGATGCTAAGGCTGGATGAAGCTTTAATAGCTGGTGTGCTGTGGAAAACAGTGGGAGCACCTGCAAAACATGACCTCATGTTCTGCCAGCTTTCTTCTACATCAGAGGCAGTCCACTGTAGAAAAACTCTGAGCTCAGGTCCTCCCTGCCACTGCAGTGGAGACAGGCTGCTACCCAGCCCTGCCTGCGTGTGATTCTGGGCATGACTGACATCTTCCAGGGATGCCAGCGAGAGAAGGGAGGCACAGCCCAGCCTCCACAGCAGTCCTGGCAGCTGGGAAGGAGGGTGCAGGAAATCTGAAACTGGCTACAACGTGTTGGTCCAGTTTTATGCTGCTGAAATGGGGGGATCAGAAAGGTCCTCAGTGCCACCCTGTCACTGCAGGGACGCTACTACAGCAGGCTAAGCCCACCAGCAGCTGGCCTAACAAACAGAAATTGTGTCTTTGCTTTTTGATTTTGCTCCAAGGCAAGCAGAACTAGAAAGTTTGATTCTTGTTAGACTGTGTGTGTTGTCATCAGTGGGATTACATGACTACTGAGGCTCATAAAATTGTTCCATTTGTAAATGTAACTCTAATTAACACCCTATATGCCAAAATAATTCTCAGTGTGAGAAGTGTAGGATAGCTTGAGAGGATGGAATAAAGGTTTACCAAGCTACAGATTCTGTGAGCTGCTCTGTAAATATTTAAGAAATTTGGGCTGCCTTCTGACATTTTCCAGAAAGAAATTATCAGCTTCCAAAATTCCATAAGACAGGTGTCAGCCCAATCAATAACCAAATGCAGTGATCAATCAAGTAACATTTTACCAACCTTGCTGTATCTGTAAGACTCTCATTAGTGCCCAGATGTATATCTTGTGTTGTAAGGAAGGAAGGATGTCCTCCAAGGAGAGCAAATCCTACAGTGAGGAAAAATTTTTTAAAAAGATAAATTAAAAATCAGCAGCTCATATTTACAGTCAAGAGTCAAAAACCTTCTTGATATAAAATACATTTACAAAAATAAAAATAGAAATCATCAGGATATCAAAATGTTAAAATTATTAGCATTTGACACACAAAATTTCAAATAAATATTCTTTGGAATAAACCCACTCCAATGTATGTGTTACTGTAATCCTTAGCCATGAGTTCCTATCTGTGATCACAGGAACAGTGATTCAAGCTCCAGAGCTACACATTGCCAGAAGCATCACTATTGCTCCCTGTTAAGAGCCAAGTAATCCATTTATCATGCTGCATTTCTACTTCATGGAACTTTTCATCCGAGAAGGACCATCCAAGTCATGGTGCACTTCCACATTCTTGTAAGGATCAGCATTGTGTTTCATATAAAGCCACTCAGACAGAAAACCCTCCTCACACACTGTAACAAACTTGAGTTTGGTCTCAAATGCATTAAAAATGATAATGTGAGAGAGAGAAGAGGAAAGGACTCAGGCCCTGCCAGCATCCCTCTACCCTGCAATAATTAGGAATTTGCACGAAGGCCCAAAGAACTGGATGGATTAGGTATGAAGAGTAAAATCCATTCCTGATCAGGAAACCATGGAAACACTTGAGCATCATTTAAGAATAAAAAACACTTTGGGGAACTTCAAAGGTGTCTGAACAGTGTTTTGGATGAAGACAAATTACATGTTAAGGGTAACTCTCAGGTTCTCTGCTGCTTTATTTTAATTACAGCACCAGTAGAAAGTTATCACAAGTAACCATCTGACACAGAGAGGGAAGAAAACATCTTCACCAACATCTGAGTCTCTCTGCATTTGCCTGGTTTAAGTCTGAGTCCTCTTTATACTGAATCTGAGTGTAAAGTCCCTCATGGCCACACTGGGAGGATGGGGCCCGATGGGGCTGTTTTATGAACTATCACTCCCTTCCAGTACAGAGATTTTCTGCAGGCAGACATTGCCCTGTCATTAGCATTTCTGATGGGGGAAATTTCCAGAGAATCTTAGTATGGACAAACCAGCTTTGTTGAGACAACACTGTGGGGGCACGAGTCTTTTATTGTGACAAAAACCTAGAAAGAAGGCCATCTTTATATTTATATTGCCAGGAAGAAAAAGGCTGCATACAGCACAGAAGAGTAGAGACCCCCACTTTGTTTACCAAACTGTGATGTTGTGCAGATGCTGATGAATTTCGTGCTGTTAGAAAAAAAATTAAAAAGAGAGAGAAAATAAGAGTGGAAAAGGAAGAAAAACCTAGAAGAATAGGTCAAAAGCTGCTCAAGCTGGCTGTATCCATTAGATGGCACTGCTGACAGATTCAGCAGTGCAGCTTCAACACTGTGGCTGTACAGGTCTGCCATGGATTAAAAACTTCATCCCACAGCTACTCTTTAAAAGAGGATTAATTCAGGACTGAGCACTGAAACCTTTCACAGATAAAACAAACAGGTACAGCAGCAGATCTGGGGCCCACAGCTGGGCTCCTTACACAGAGCAACCCTTATTAACTTCCATCTCCTGCTGGCAGCAGGGTTGAGGTGAGGTTTTCTGCTTTGCATCAGATCAGCCAGCCTCTGGAGTTTAAAATACAATAGATAAAAACCATACTGGAAAGTCATTGTCTTTGGACTGCTTCAATTTCCTTAATGTCAGATTAAAAGTAATGATGTTCCAGGTCCCACCTGAAGGACAAATTTCTGCTCCCCTAGCCAGTGTACACTCATTTTATTGAATGGGCCCTTTTAAATTGCTTGTTTTTTTCATTAAGGATTGCTCCAAATCTCAAGAATATTGCAAGTCAGACAGCGCAAACTTCTAAGGATGAAGCACCATTTATTCTACTATTACTTTTTTTACCTCCCCTCTGCAGCTCAGACACAAACACTGTATTTAAAGGACAGGGTATGCAAACTACACATTACAGCCTGTATATTCAGTGCAAATTTTTAAGTCAAGACCTCGAGGATGAACTGTCATTGGCAGTTACTTTTCCTTCCCAAATTCTTGTGGATTTTTTTTGAGTAATATACAATTATGCCAGTTATTTATTCCTGCAAGTTCCACACAATACAGCAGCTCTGCTTTTAGGATTCTAAATGCATACGCTTTGGTAGATGATTCACAGTCTAGGCAGGCTCCAATGGACATGTTCTGTTTTCTAGAAATGATGCCCAGGTGAAAAAATGGGAATCTGAACATTTATTCCAAACTGTCAGACATCAGGCAGCCCAGTCAGAGCTGCCACCTGAAGCCTGTGTACATAGCAGAGCCCAGATGTGTTGGGTTTTCTGCTCATGAACTGGCCATCTGTGCAGGGCCTGGGAACATATTTCCATACAAAACTTTCCATCTGGAAATCCAGGAGCTCTGTGCTCTAACTTTGTATATAGTTGCAGAGACAGAATCTTTTTCAGATTCTTTCATCCAGACTACCAGTAGAAGGTGGAAAAAAAAGATGACTTTTGAAGGTATGCAGGCACCAATTCAGCAAATAAACATTGGAGTGCTGTGTTAAACTGGGCGATCTAATCCTTTGTTGTCACAACCTGGTCATATCCAAAGCCACATGCTAAATATTTATATGAATTGTGATATCTTCAATAAACTAATAAATGTTCATACTGCAAATCCAGAATGGATTATTACCTCATGACCACAATTCTCACTACTGTTAGTTTTCAAAATACAGTTTCATGCCTCATGCTGTGGCATATTATTGACCCCACTTATGCAGACCTTTTCAGATGGGACATGAGTGAAATCTTCATCCCAGGCTGTCCCTGCTGCATGGGGCAAGGGAGCCAAAATGATTCCTGTAGTTCACAAGTTGGCAACACAGTTCTGGGGCTGTCACCAGGAGACACACAGTCATCTTCTCAGACTCAAAGGCAGGATCTTTTTCAGAATTTCAAGACATATGGATTTGCATTTATTAATTTCCTTATTGCATGCCCAGACTTACAAAATAGGAGGTATTTTTCCATTTAGACTGATAACAAAGAACTCTTCTAGGCAGCAATTAGAGAACATTTTTAAAGCAGAAGCTAAAAACTGATAAGCAGTTTTTAAAAGTTATTTTTAAGCTACCCTTTTAAGTGAAGAGTAAACTAAGAATTAATTTGGGCCCTCTGTAATGAGGCCAAGCTAAATAATACTTAGCCACTCCAAGAGAAAACAGACCCTGTACCATATAATACCATCCCCACTATAGTTCATATGCTATGATGCAGTTATTTCTGTGACTCTGTAGCAGTCTTCAGGCATGGCCATCATGTTCCTCTCACCCCACTGTGTAGGAGGAGTGACTGGGAGTAATTCCACTAAAACAAATGGCACTGAACCCCTTTAAGGCTGTTAAGATCTTGTATATTCCAGTGCACAACAAGAGAAGGTAGGCTGAGCTTTCCTACCTGCAGTGCTTCCTCTCTGTTTCTACCCTGGTGAAATATTGTCTGCATTCAGTATGAGATGGTTGGATTTATTTATGACTTATTCACTAAAACATAACTGCAGCTGTATATTTTAAGAACAACAGTAGCAATCAGATTATTTTACACCAAAGCTATAACAAAAACAGGTCATTCACCTTTGTGCCATGCCTCAGCATGTTTATTTTACAAGTAATATATGACCACATGAATAGCTCTGTTTTCAAAAAGTACACAAAATTTTATGCAGAATGGGTATGGGATTCTGACTGTGAAGAGGTGACATTTTCCAGTGTAATAGCAGATATGTCACATTTTCCAATAAAATAGCCAGAGATAGAAATAAATCTCCTAGGCTTATAGAACTGGATTTACTCTGCCACTACTCTATGGAAGTTACTTCTAGTTCTGCATTAAACTTACAACATCAGTGCTTATCTTAGAAATTGTAAAATTATATGGGTTTCAGAAATACACATTAGGACAAGATTAAAGAGGCAAGGAATTGTACCCCAAGAAGAGATGTGTTAGTCAGTACAGTTGCAATGTCATTAGAATAAGACAGTCCAGAGAAACAGGATGTTGAAAAATCTTAAATATCAACTGATCTATTACAATGCATCATAAATTAATGCTTTGATAATCTTCAGTTGATATGGACAACTGGTAGAAATGAAAAAAATATCACCCCAAGTTAAAGAAGGGCTAGAGGGAGGATCCAGAGAATACAGGCTAAGATGCCTCACCTCAATCCATGGGAAAGTGATGAAGCAGCTAATCCTGGAAACCATTTCTAGGCAGATTAAGGACATGAAAATTGTCAGGAGCAGTCTGCATGACTTCCCCAAGAGGAAGTCATGCTTGAGCAGTTTAATCAATCTCTATGATTCTATGACTGGCCTGGTAGATGAGGGAAGGGCAGTGGTTTTTGTCTGCCTGGACTTCATTGTGTCCATTGACAGTGTCTCCCATGAGATCCTCCTGGCCAAGCTGAGGATGCCTGGCTGGATGAGCAGAGCATGGGATGGGTTCAGAACTCTCCAGATGGCCAAGCCTGAGAGTGGTGACCACCAGCACAAAGTCCAGCTGGAGGCCAATGACCAGCAGTACCCTCAGGGTCCATTTGTGACCAGTCCTGTTTAACACCCGTGTTAAGGGTCTCGATGACCAAGTGTGGTTTCAGCAATTCTGCTGTTGACACAAAACTGGGAGGAGTGGCTGATACAACATAGGGTCATGCTGCTGTCTAGAGGGATCTTGACAGGCTGGAAAAAATGGTCTGACAGGAGCCCCATGAAATTCAGCATGGAGAGATACAAAGTCCTGCACCTGAGGAAGAACAGCCCCTGCAGCAGGACATGAAGGGGGCCTCCCAGCTGGGGAGCAGCTTGGCAGAAAAGGACTTGGGGGTCCTGGTGGACAGGAAATTGAACACACCAGAAGTGTGTGTTCCAGCAAGGGTGGTGAATGGTGTCCTGCACTGCTCCAGACAAATGGAGGTGGAGGGAGGTGACCTTTCCTCTTTATACCACACTGGTGACCCCGAGAGTCTGGATTTGGGGTCCTCAGTATGAGAAACTTGGACATATGGGATACAGTTGGTATGGCCATGCTAACAAAGGGTCACAAAAGTGGCTGAGGGACTGAAGCATATTTCATATGAGAAGAAAAGTTGAGAGAGCTGTGACAGCACAGCCAGGAGAACAGAAGGCTCAGAGAGAATATTGCTAATGTATATAAACACCTGAAGGGAGGAGGCAAAGAAGACAGAGGCAGGTGTTTTTCAGCAGTGCAATGGGCACAAACTGGGAAGATTCCTCTGAACAGCAAATTCTATTTACTGAACAGCTGATTGAACAATGGCATAAGTTTCCACAGAAGATTGTGGAATCTTCATCCTTGGAGATATTCAAAAGACTTCTGGACATGGTCCTGGACAATTGGCTCTAGAAGACCCTGCTTGAGCAGGGGATTGGAGTAGATGGCCTTCAGAGATTACTTCAAACTTCAACCATTCTTTTTATTTCTTTTTCAATAATGTTGTTCTTTATAAGCACAGGGACAGTAGGATCTCTGAAAACACTTCCATGGTGTTAGTATGTCCCAACAAACTCATAGACACTTCACAGCGAAGACTTTGTAATCAATGCTTTCCAAGTCTCTGCTATGTAATGAAATGCATTGATTTAGCTCTTCTGAGAGTTGCAAGGTTTGTTTAGATTAATCTCATCCCCAGGACCTTGCCCTGCAAGTGACCTCTCTCAAATTATTAAAGGGGCAACTCTTGGGAAGTGCTATTTGAGATGAGTCAGGAACTTTTATAAATAAACACTTAAATCCACTGAAATTGTCCACTTTCACTAGACATTAGAAAATTGGTATTAAATTATCTTGTTTGGCTAAAAGGAACACATGTGACTCCACATTTGTTTTGAGTTAGAAATTCCAAGGAGGGAGTCATGTATGTTAAAAAAGCAGCTGAAATGTATAGAGTTTTTGTGGCCAGAAAGAAAAAACTTGAGTCTGCCTTTGAAGCAAAGTCTTAGGCTTAACAGACTTAAGACCAATTAACTGAAGGTGTGAAGTTAATGCACAGAAGCTGAACTGCATTAAACTCTCTTGTGGAGGCTCTCACTCAGAAATACATTTGTTTTATTTCACTGGAGCTTAATTCTCCCTTGGATGAATTTATGTGCATTAACTCCCATCCTTAAGTTAATTCATTTGAACTTTCCTGAGCTTCCCCCTTCCATAAGCCTTCAAAAGCTGAGGACTAAGCAGTGTTTCCCTCAGAATACGGAAGAATGAAGGATAAACAGATGCAGAGAATCCATTATCTGGCCACATACCAGGATGGCAGGAAATAAGAAACTGGACTAAAAACTCAGGAATTAAAAGGTGGGTGGTCTTCACAGAGAGGGAATGCACATTAGTAAGTCCTTATTATCAGGAGAAAACAGAAAGCAACAACAAGTCTGCCTATAGAGCAGGATCAGCAGGCAAATGGCTGTGCCAGAAAACACAAAGGCAAACTCAGAAATGCTTGGAGTTAATGTATCTGCTTCTTCCTTCCACTGTTTTTACCTTTTCTCTTACATCTCTTGTAAAGAAGTGTGAATACTCAACAGGTTTGCTGTTCCTTTACTAGGGAGAAGTGAGGATGCTGGGTCAACTTAAATAAAAGATGAGCAAGTTCTTCCTTGATGCATCACCAGATCAGAGTTATTTTTGCTAGGATTGAGTGATGAGTGATTTATTTCAGCAGTGCCATTGAATTCAAAACAAATACCATCTAAATAAAGATACCATAGGTACATGTTTCAGTATAACCTACAAGAAAAATGTTCCAGTGCCTGATATTATTAGGTTAATATCCTTGAGTCTCCATCAAATTATCTTCCCCTGTAGGTAATCATGTTAATTTTTCTCCTGCATTTATATCAAGGCATTACTGTTATTCCCAGCCTAAGCACATTGAAATGTAACAATGGTAATTCATATTACCTTAGAAAAATATTTATTAGATCTTGCACAAAATTAAATTTGTGATGCTTACTGAAGTAGATGTTAGGAAATATACATCTTGCCAGTACAGCTGGGAGCTTACAGCAGATATGCTTACTTCTGTTAATTTATTTCTGATCTATTGTGTTTTGGAAGATTTTGCCAAAATTTCAGTGACCAAAGCCATGTGCTTGTGAAATTAATATGCAAGGTGAAAACACAAGCAGACAATAGTCTTTTCTTATTTTTGCTTTCAAAGTTTAGGTTTCTCCTGAGTACAAATGCTAAATGCAAAATTATGCAGTGCTTTTCAGTACATACTTAATGTATAGAGTTCCATATAAAGTCTTACTGTGCCATTGCTCAGACCTACCTGTTTCTGCAGATAATCTTGTCCTTGTGCTTCTCTTCTCAAAAATCATGGCCAAAGATTTGCCTTGCATCAAAGGCAAATACTGAAACATGAAAAATGAAGTTATTTCAATTTTTTAATCATTATACTCTTCAAAGTATGAAATACTTCTTGTACATTTTAGTTCACAATTAGAAAATTTGCAAAAGTGTGGTTTTTTTTACCTCTGGTTTTGTTCTCCTGCCCTTCAATAAATTTATTAGCAGTGGAAAGAAGTAATTCTAGGCCCAAAAGCAACTGCATTTTGGCACTCAATTGGAGCCAGCATTAAGGAGAACTCAGATATTAATTTAATCCCATGCAGGGAAGTGTCTTCCATTTCCTACATTTAGTGCTGCATGTACACTGTGTGTGGATGGATGGGGTTAGCTGACAAGAGGGAGCTAGCTGCACAAACTTGCTTAACCTTTCCACTAACAAAGTCCTCTGAAGTGTTTAAAGAATATTAAAGATTATTTCTGGACATTTTACAGGAAGGTTCTTTGACTTGTAGCACATGATTTACAGTATTTAAGAGCTTCAGAGATTTTGTTTATGACAAGACAGCTGAAAGGCTTTTTCATAATACCCTTGAGAACAGTATTTATTTCAACATCTGAGGGACATAAATGACAGTTAAATCATTTTACCTCTCCTTTATGCTTTATCCTTTGTTTCAAATCTGATGCCATCCACAGCAAATACTTCAGTTCATCAGCTGTGTAGTTCTGTAGAGTAAGGAGGTCCCGACCTTTCAGATCAACATTCATTGGAGCTGGTGTCCCATACCTGTGTCAAAAGAGCAAAAAATGTGTATTTTTTTGCCATTCAATACTAAATTATATATGTGCTAAAGCCAGTGAGCAAGCGCCTGAAATCTCTCCCATTCCCCTCGCATGACCCAGCTGGATCATCCTGCTAGACTGTGTTAATTAGTTTAAATTACTCCTGTCAGACAGCCTCATGTCACTAGACACTATATTGATGGCCACTGTAACAATGTTTTAAATTGTGTTATAAAATGTACATTAGATGTATTTTCTTCTGTCTTCTGAGATGCATATGGCAACTGCATGCTGTGTGTTAAATAAAGCCATTCAGAATCTGGAAAAATTACTTATGTGTAGACCCCAAAGCTGCCCTTTCAGGGGTCAGAATAACAGAAATGGATCTCAGTGCTGTTTCTCCCTCCTTTTTGCTTTGTGCATGAATAGACACTTGCCACATTCCAACCCCACTCTCACAAAAGGTGGCATTTCTATAAATGTGTATGAAATCTCTTCATTACACTGGGGGAAAAGGGTAAAAACAGCCCAACTAAACAGCATTACTGTACCACACGAGACATTCTGGACATGTGGTGTTTATTCAGCGCATTCTGGCTTCCATCCAGATTTAGGACTTCAGAATGAAATTGGATGTTGATAATCACCCACAGAAGTTACATGATCAAATTTTCTCTAGATTAGATGAGGCATCTTAATGAAAGTCTTGGCCAAGCCCATGTTTCACAGGCTGAAGTTTAACAGGGAAGTGTGGCAGCTCAGCCCTTTCTCTGGCTTTGTACTTGCAGCCCTCCTTAGCTCTACACAGCCCACACTGTGCTCTTGCTAAGGTTTTGATGTGTATGAGCTAAACATGTGTTTTATTTAAAGGCAACATTTTTAGACTGATCTAATAAAATGGAGACCAAAACATTGCAAAGAAGTGGACTGAGTCCGGATAATATTTTTCTATTTCCAATTTTATTTCTATTTTATATTCCCCTTTAGCTCACCATTGAGACTAGGCTCAGATGCAGTGCTTGCTAATTGCCAAGCCCTGAAGTCCACAGCTAGGGAAATATGCCCAGATACACCCCTGTGAGGCTTTGGACACAATCCCACATATCAGCCTGAGCCCCACAGTGCAGAGCCCTGGCTTTGGAGGGTGGGCTCAACAGGGCACAAAGCATTGGCCAGATGGACACAGCCAGGGACAGCCAGGGTGGGCAGAAGTTCCATGTGCAGCTGCAGGCCAGGGATGAGGGCTGGCCCTCAGGGCTTTGTTCCACTTGGGTTTAAGCCATTTCAGGGCTTTCCAAATTATTTATTTCTGTCCCATTCCTTTTCAGTAGGTTCTGCTTTGGTTTTCAGAGTGCCACCTTCTCAGCTTGGTGCTCTTTGTGTCCTCCTTTCTCTTCTGCCTTTCTTTGCCTGCTCTGTTTCTTTCCTGGTGTCCATCTGTACCTGTGGCACCTCAGCCAGAGTCTCACCACATCATTTTTCCCAGTCCATGTGCTAAACCAGCCCTGGGTTAAGTTATCAAGGCTGGCAGTGAGGTGTCATTGTAAGACCTTGCTCCACTTGGGTTTCAGCCCTTTCAGAGCTTTGCCTCAGAGAGCAGGAACATCTTTTCCTTGCTGGAAACTGGAATTCCAGACCATTGCAGTGTGTGCCATGGATCACAGAGGGGTATTACTGAGGCTCCTGGGGTGCTGTTTCTGCTGTCCCTCCCAGGGGAGCTGTGCAGGTTCAGGTGACAAGGTCCCAAAGCAATCTGGGCTTCTAGAGCAGACAGCAAATGTTTGTCTGCTGGACATTTCAATCACACTGGCAGCTCAAAGCAGAGAGGAAGAAAATGGAAGCAAGTGTAGTGGCATTCATGGGTCAGGTAGTTTCTACCACACCATGAAAAACAGCCCACCAAGAAAAGCTACTGACATGCACTCTTGAATACCAAGACACTTCATTTATACTTCAGAGGATTGGCTTTAATTTTTGTGTATATTCTGAAGGAAAATAGTTTTATAAGCAGAACATCTTTAATTACTTTAAGTTTTCAGAACAGGGATTTCCTTTTTTAACTTGTTTGTGAGGAAAAAAACAAACTAGTCCTGCTTTAAAATCTATGCAATTGCTTGCTGCTCCCTACTCTCCTTGCCTCCTTATTTCCAGAGCAGCTTTGGGGCTACTCCTTGTTTTTCTCATTTCAGCCTGCAATTCCTTCCAGGGATTTAAAGATTATCTAATCTCAATTTGCCAAACAACAGCTTCTGTTCGTTGGTCTTGTTCCACCATCTGGCATGACTGAGAAGTGGACTGAGAAATATTCACCACTAATTTCTCCACTGGCAGATAGTGAAGCACTTAAATTGGTTACCCAGAAAGGATTTGGAATTACCATTCTTAACTATTTTCAAGAGATGCCTAAGCAAAGGCATAGCTGCTCTCATATGGTGTTTGACAGGCTGCAAGCAGAAAATTGGACTAGAGATGTGCTCCTGACCTCTTGAAGATTCTGTTTTATTGCTATGACCTCCAAGAAATTTGTTCCCTTCCCTGTTATCCATATGTGAAAGAGGGGCTGAAGTGGAAAAATTAATTCCAGAGAAGGATCATGAGACAACATACCAAAGTTAAAATGTAACAGGCAGAATTGCAAGGTCAAGCAGTTTTGGGTTCTTCCTTTCTGAGCAGGGGCAGCATAACTTTAGACTATTAGCACAGACTCACAGGCATTAGGTTATCCTGCAGTATCAAACACAGTATACTTAGCTGGGAATACCCACAGACAGTGGTGATAGCTTATGCCAACATTATGCTATAATGTTAAAAAACCCACCAAAAATAACAATGCTGTGTGTGGAAGGTAACAAATTGGATTAGTTCCTTGGAAAACCAGATTTACTACAGTTGTTTTCCAAACTTTCTTTTCCATCATCTTTGTTAGCTGCAGAAATTTCCCAACTGGCTGCAGTAAAAATCCAAAATTTATAAAAAAATTAATACCCAGCCTTTAGGACCACTTTAATCTGTTGCAAATAAATAATAGAATTTGGAAAATATTTGGTTTTCATATAATGTAACGTAGAAATTATAAACAAAAATTACTTATTGGATATTAGTATTTACATAGTATGCAAAATACTTATTGCATATTCACATTATGTGAATGTGAAATTTCTGCATATTGTTTTCTAGAACTAATCACTTGTTACATAACAAATGTTAATTCTATTCCTATTGAAGTTGATCTAAAACCATGAGAAAACATGGTTTTCTAAAATTTTGACCTGATTTTGGAGATGTGACAAACCTGAGAAGCAGCTTAGTGAAACTCTGCCATACAGGTTCTTTCCTGAAATCAGGGGGGACAGGCAGAGTTATGTGGGTGCAGAAAGAACCCAAAGCCAGGTCACAGAGGCAGTTCTGCCTGCTTGACTTTGACTCTCCCATCACATCATGCTTTTTCTGCATGCCTCCAGGGTATACAAAGACACAAAATAATGAGGCAGAGATTCACCTTGCAGCTTCAAGGAGAGAATTTCCCACCCAAACTGGCCACGATATATGTCTAAATGCAGATAGATTACCTTTATTCAGATAGTTATTTACTGGTTACAGTACTTTAAGCACACACTGACCTCAAGAATAAACATTCCTTCCTGACTTTGCAGCTAAATCCCACACAACAAATTAATGGTATTCCACAAACACTAAAAACAGAAAATCCTCCAGCCTCCTGAAATCACAGAGCTTGCTGCCTGGTGAGGTAAAAGGACACTAAAATTGCAGGGAAAAGCCCCCCAGAGCCTTTCTCTAAAACACTCACACCTTCACAGGATTTTGCTGCTTTTGACTCCAGGTTTCTGACCAAACACCACACACCAGATAAAATTAAAGGATAAGCTCACCCAAACTGTCGCAGCAGCTGCTTGCTGGTTCTTGCCAGTTTTACAATAGTGACAAAATTCCTCCTATTAAACAGCATCTTCTGTTTGCATTAAGACTTCTCTTAACCCACAAATAAAGTGATGAGGAAGGAAGGTGTAGGAAGCAGAGAGTGAGCTGTGCTGCTGTGCAAATGAGGAAAAACCAAGAACCAAGGTCCTTGTTTTGGCTGTCCCAGCCAGGGCTGGGCCAGGCTGGGGCTGACCCTGAACCTTTTCTTCGGTCAAACCCTACAGATACAGAGATTTCTCCCAGGGGCCATTGCACCACTCACAGTTTGTGTTCTTCTTTGTGGGCTCATCATGTCATATAATACCTGTGTCAATACTATTTCATAGCTATGTTGTGTTAAATATTTGTACAGGAGCATGTGCTGATAGAAAAAGGCAAAAGAAGACTTGCAGGATCAGCATGAGCAGGATGCCCCCCTAGGGATGAGACAGGGGGTTCTAGCATAGCCCAGGCAGGGACTGTTGGCTGTGAGCTGAACCAAAATGAGGGTTTTGGGTCCATGGCTATGGAACCAGGCAGGGCATAAAGACTTATTTGTATTTTTGGGGCCCTGACAATAATGAAGTAGTCTGCATTAAAGAAATCTACATTATCCTAGGGTTTTTTGGTGGTTTATTTTTCTGCTTGTTTTTTTTTTGTTTTGTTTTGTTTTGTTTTCGATTTTCTGTTTCTTCTTTTGGTGTTTTTGTTTGGTTAGTTGGTTGGTTTTTGCTGTTGATGGTGGGGGTTTGTTTGTTTTGTACCAAGTTTTCAATTATGCTGCAGTAGTGTTAAATAGTGTGGGGCCCAAAAAGTGAAATATTGCAGCCTGCCTACCTCCTTAGGCTAAACTACTTGCTGTAAAATCTGAAGTAGGTCAATATCTAAGTACTAAAGTGATTTAATTTAAGTTTCTACCTTCAAACATAATTATCAGATAAGATTTTATGCCACTTGCACTGTAGGTGGGTTTGAAATATGACCATTACTTTCTCATTTTCTCCTTCCTGTAAGGAGACACGCATTAGTGTAAATCAAGGTGATGCCATATCTGACAGAGAGGGTGATACCTTGAAATTACAATGCAAGGAACTTATAATTAAAACACGCAAAAGAAAAGTTGGGCTCCTGGGAAAGACAAACAGCTGTGAAAACATCACTCAGGGTGATAGCTCCTGGTGGGATTTGCTCAAGACCCCTCATGCTGAACCAACCCTGAGATGCTTGGGAAATGCAGCAGTTGCCAGGGTAAATGTGAAACAGAAGTAAAATCCTAGAGAAAGGAGTAGTGAGGGAATGGAAGAGAAGAAAGAGAAGAAAGAGAAGAAA